CCCTAATCCAAGGCTTTGTACAAGGTTCTGTCAGTTTGTGTTGCAATGTCAGCAGCTTCTCTGTTCTCTAAAGTGTTAAAGAGAGCAGAATCAATCTTTTTCAGTTTTTCATGGTGGGGAGCAGATCTATTCTCTTGGGGCAACTTGTGCACCACTTTGCCACTAATCCATATATAAACTTAGAAAGCAAACACGAAAGACTGCACACCAGTGCTATTTCAATTCACAGCTGTGTGTCCAGGTCTGTTTCTAGATAGAACTACTTTCATTAGCCATTCAATCCTCTGTTTAATTGCTTACATGATTTTTATTTTTTTAAGAAATGAGCCTCAAACCAGAATCAGAAGGGTATAACTAGGCAGGACAGAAGTGTGATTCCAGGCAGAACATTATATTTGGTTCCTCTTTCTGCAGCCTAAAATAACAACTTATCAAAGAACATCAGAGATGTTCAAATTCCAGAGCCAGAAATTACCTCCACAGCTCAAGACATGATATGATCTCTAGGAGGAGGGCAAAGACCTCTAAAAGACAGAAATGCCTGAGATAAGAATGTAAAAATCTGAGGCTGGGTACATGCCCTTAATCTCTTATGTGTAAACACACAGTTAAATTTATGTCAGGGAGCAGCATGTTTAGTTTTCTGAAGAAGACATGTTTCCCAGAAGGAATTACATAAATATTTATGAAAATGAAGCAGGAAATATTTTCCCAGGGTAGGACACTGTTCAGCACTGCATCAGGTCAGTAGAAGCTGGGGTTTATTTTGTCAGTCTTCTTCTGGAACTGAATCATTGCTCTCTTGTTTGCAAAAATTTGTTCTGACACAGGAAGAGGCTGCACTTAGATAAACACAATTACAAGCCACATTGAGTATTTCATTTCTATCACATCCCTGAATATATATAAGAATGCCTTACATTTTTGGATAGCTTCTCTGAAAGACTGCATGGAAAACAATAGCAATAGGTGTCTGTTTTAGGATTCTCTGAAAGTCTGGTGCCATTATGTCAAAGGTGTCTTCAGTAGAACTGAAAGCCTGCAGGCGAACAGACAGAGAAGCATTCTCAATCCAAGTGTTCACAATAAAAGTGTTTATAAAACATACACTATGAGCCAGGACATTCTTGCTAAGTGCAAAAGTTAGAAACAAAAAGTTGTAGTGCAGTGCTACCTGAGTGAGCAGAAGTTACACACAATTGAGGTGTGTTTGCCAAATGGGGTACAGGGTTCAGTATTGCACCTCATTGCTCTCTGAATCTGTGGTCTGCAACCTGAACTCCTTATGAGATTTCAGTGCTCACCAGCTCTTCCTGGGCACCAGCTGTCTCCAAATCCCTCCTGCCTCATGGCAGATATGTACAGCTGGAACCTGTGTCAGCTTTTCTGTTTAAGGGCTAAAAACTGAGGGGAATAGGAGTGGGAAAGGAGAAATAGGAGCATCCCAAGAAGGGGTTGTAAGCTCTAGTGCAGACCTAAGGTTCTCCCAGAATGCCATCTCTGTGTGAGACCAGACAAAGCTCACACCCATCCCTCAAGCTACCCAACTCAACAGAGAGCCAAACTCATCAGCAGGAAACGAGAGAGATTATAGTTAATAGTGGAGCATAAATTTTTATACAGCTGAGGCTGATGAAGCCTCTCAAACATCTAACAAAATGTTGGATGATGATCTATAATCATTAGAGTCCTACAAGCTCTGTTTACTAAATACGTATTAGCTATAAGATTTTGGACAATTTTGTCCTTAGGTTGGTTGCTTTTGTCAGTTATTTTCAGGCATATCAAAATCTAGTCATTGTTTGTATCTTAATCAGAGGAATGAAACTGGTGGAGACTGTGTTTACAGGCTCAAGTAGCCATTGCAGGGTGTCAAAACCAAAACCAGCATTTTACAAAATAATGCTGGGATTACTTTCCTCCCTACACATTGCAAACCACGATACTCTGCCCTTCTTTTTCCATTTCCTCTAAGCTTTGCCACTATGGCTGATGTATCCAGCATGACAGAATGAAACACCCCAAATCATCATGACCCCTGACACCAGAAGAGAAACCATCTAGGATCTCAAAGCAAAGAAATATTCAACCCTTTTTTTTAAAATTCAGGTGCTTGCAAGTTTATTCAGTACAGTAAGGTAAAGAAGGAGAATATTTTCCTTAATGCTGAATTTGGATCAGAAAGGATGCCAGCAGACTCTCAACACTTATGTCTGAATCACCCCATGGTTACAAGCAGGATGTATTAACCTGCAGTCCAACCACAGGATCTGTGATTCTACAAATGATGAAAATTGGCTGTAGATCTGGCCACTTTTTGATGAAAAGTATTTCAGCATGTTGTCTGTGTTCCTTATAGTCTGTTGACATTTAACTCCTAATATCAGAAGAGTAAGCAAACGAAGGTTATGCAAATCTCCAAGGAAGTTACTTGGACTCCAAATAGACAATGCACAGCACATTGGTTACCTGATTAGTGCTCGTCTCAAAGAACAGAGTGTTTCTGCATATTTTTTTGGTGCCTTTTTAGGGTTTCCTTGTAAAATCATAACCTTGGAAGCATTTGTTTTGTGACTTTTATGTTTGGATGATGTGGCCTAAATTGTTTTATTTCCTTGCCTACAGTCATTTCTTTAAGCCTGATTCAATGAGAATTAACATGCACAATAGGCACTCTGCTTCATTGAATCTCCATCAGCAATGAAGCTGCTTGAAGATTTTTCAGTGAAACTGGTTTGAGAAATACTGATCAGCCAAAAGCAAAGGTTTTCATGGTAGTACATCAGTTTTGATGGATTGCCTGTTAAGGCTGGTTTTCTAGCTCCAGGACAGCATTCCTGGTCCAACACACAGGAAGACATGACTGATTAGCACACACCCTTGTAATAAAACAATATAACCTTAAGGCTCTACTGCAAACACTGGTTTGAACTAGGCAGAGAAATAATTAAAATCTGGATCTCCTATGTTTTGAGTAAGTGTTTTTATTTACCAAGTTTTTACATCCATTAAATCTAATTTCTCACAGTGTTTTCAGGGGGCTTGTGACTGTCGTGGAAGGTGGGGTGGAGGTGGGAGGTGGGGGTCGGGGAAGAGTACAGTCTTGATTTATGTTCTAAAGTGGAATGAAAACATTTGTAAATGATCACACCACTGTCAGAAAAACGTTTCCTGCTTAGTCCAGGATAGCAACTGAAGTAGTTAAACAAATGGTTTCCTCTCTCACTTACATTTACACCCCTCTTTATCCCTGATAAATAATAAACAAGTCACTGTAAGTCTCTCAGTACCGTGGAACAGATAGCATCATTCATGTCAGTTTGGCAACAGTTCCCAAAATGCCTCCTCCAACCCTAAGTACACTAGCTTCCCACTCCTACGCTCTCTATTCTTGCTCTTACATTGACCTTCTGCTCACAAAATGGAAAGTGAAGAGAAGAAAAAGTTAAATAAAACAGATTTACAGTGTACAAGTCAGAGGCACAGTGCCCACTGCAAATCACAGAGGAACAAGTTTATTTCTGGTATGACTCTACTCAAGTATAATCCTGACTTTGTCTTTCCTCCCCCTCTAGCTGTGTGTACCTGTTATCAAGGCTACATTTGAGGGGATAAGTTAGATGACACTCTTTAGGACAAAGAATATTTCTTTCTGAAAAGCAATGTATACAGTTTAACAAAACAAAACTAAACAAGAAAAACAAAACAAGAAAAACAACAAAAACCACCAAAAACAAGCAAACAAACAATTAAAAAGTGTTTTAGAAAGGGGGACAATCTGTGAGCAGGCTAGAAAGAAAAAGGGAGAGGAGTATCCTGACTCTTCTTAGGACTTTGGCCAATATTTTATTATAATTTACAGATGAAAGCCTGAAATCCGAGCCTTCCTTCAGGCTTTAAGTAAAGGTATTGACTTTTACGTCAGTACTGCTACTTATTCTGTATGCCCAAAGGCTGAAACATAGGACTAGGGAACCAATATTCTCTTAAATAAAGAGGAAAAAAGCTCTCAAAAGTTATTAATATAGGAAATGCATTTTTTCCTAGAATGGAAAGCAAATACCCTCTCATACATTACATAGTTCAAAAGCCTAGTTCATCTTTTTGAATAGCTGTCTCATTGTGTAAGAAACCAGAAGTTAACAAAATTCCTGGAAATATTACAAATAGTCATCTCCCCTTTCTTTTCTGCCAGGCTACCTTGAACATCCTCCTATCCCTGGTTACTGTGCTCCCTAAGAGAAAGCTGGAGTTTTTTCTAGGAAGGGATTGCACATAGGTAGGTATCTGTCATAGCTCCTTCCCAAAGGAAGGATACATGAAACTGTTCCTCCATCCAAGATGACTCCTGCACTGTTTTCAGGGTGCCAGCACCCAGCTGAACACCTGAAAGTTACCTCAGGACTCGAACAAGCTGGAGTTTTCTCTGGACAACCCAAAGATAATGTTCTGTTGGGATCTGTGCTACACCACTGTCCCAATATATGGCCTCTCCCAGTGCATGGGAAGAGTGATTTGGGAGAAGGTGGCACTGTCATTCAAGCTCATCTTGTTCTGTGTCTTTTTGTCCTGAAGTTCACCCTATCTGTACTTTGTCTACAAACATGATCTGGGCTTGGGGCTAGCATTGTGGAGCTATCTGTAAACATAAACCCATCACTTGTGGGTTTCAGGCTAAAACACACATGGATAATGTCAACTTTTCATTTGCTGCTCTGGGGACTGTGGGTACCTGGCACCCAAAAGGTGAGATACAGCACTGGTGCTTTCCATCCACAGTGGACTGGCAGCTCGTCTGTTGTCACTAACAGTCTCCTTGGTGGAAAGCTTTTATGGAATAACATCTCTAAACGTTATATGCAGTCTGCGTTACTCTTCCAGCACACAACCAGCCAAATGTATCCTAAACTAATTAGTACACACTTGGATACAATACCAAAGTCTTTTGTCCCTAGAGTAAGTGAAAAGCTGGGCATGAAGAATCAGTGTTGAGAGGAAAAAATTACAAGAGAGATATTCCCATATGTTAGAGAAATTTTCCATGGCAAAAGGAGCTAAATGTCTCACAGATAAGAGATAAATTGGAATAAACAGCTGTCAGTGTTAAATAAATATCCTGGATAATGTGCAGGACAGAAATAACTACAGCATCATCAAACTCCTTTCTTCACTTTATTTAGCTGTTCTTGCATGTAGCTCCCAAGCTTTCCACTGCTCCAGTTAGCGAAGCATTTATTTTTGAGTCAGCTGCATTTCTTAAGACTGTAACAACGAGAGGCATTTCCTGAGAAACTGCAAGGATGAGCAGCAAGAAAGAACAACAGCTAAGGAAATATGGGACCCTTGTAGTGTTTTTTATCTTGCAAGTCCAGATTTTTGGTTTTGATGTTGATAATCGACCTACAACAGATGTCTGCTCAACACACACAATTTTACCTGGACCAAAAGGTGAGGAATTATCAGGTTGCTAATGCTGAGATCAGTACTGATAAAGGCTGATTTTTTATCAATAGAGACTTGGAGGGCTTGTGGCATGGGCTGGGCATGAAAGATGTGAAGTATTGTAGACTGTACAATAGTAAACTGTAATGGGGGAAAATTAAGAAGCAAGGAGATTTAAATTTGCATTTCTTTAGTTTCAGGAACAGTGTCACATATTTTCATATAAGTTAGGGGTGTCTTTTTGCATCTTTCTCCAGCCACACAAATATTCTGTTATTTCTTGTGCTCGGCACACAATGAAAACAGCTAAGAGATACAAACTGAGGGACTTGTTTAAAGTAGGCACCTATTGTGAACCGTTAGTGGTCTGCTTTGCATCTACAGATAGGGAGAAATATACAATATTTAAAATGACCAAACTGCCATTATTTTAAAATGTTTACTTGTAAATACATCTCTGCTACATTCATCAGACCTGATCCAGTAGCTCTTGTTGAATTAAACACGACCTTTGCTACAGATTTCAACAAGAACTAGATCAACTCTGGCATGTATAGGTCTTTTATCTTCAAAACGCTTTGCAAATATCTGAAACCAAATTTTCTGCATTAACTTACTTTTTCTGTAACACAACTAACATCAGTGGAATTGCCTGAAGGGTATCTTATTAGGTCCATGACATACAAATCTATCTTCCAGTGACAGATCTAAAATATATATTCCATACCATGGCTATTGCAGTTTCAAACTATTACTTTCTTTTTAGTAATTCATTGTATTTTTCTATAGGCTACAGACTGAGAGAAAAAAAAATGCAGCTGATTTAATTTTAAAGCAGAAAAAAGATTACCAAGTCAAGAGCACTGCTCATTTGTTTTTATGATGGATTATTCAAATACATGTTGCTTAAAGGACCATTTATAATCAGGAAATTAATTTCTTTATGATTACAATCCAAGCTTAAACTTTTGCTGCCACAGCATAAATACAGATAGATGTAGTGATCCCCAAGGGAGCTAGTGGGTGTTAGTTTAGTTAGTATCTAATTAATGGCAGTCTGGAGAACAAAGTTTGGCAGAATTGTGTTTAACAAATCACAAGGCTAATGAGGGGGTCTCATGACAACACAGAGTAGCTGGGACTCCAGCTGGCTTCTGTGGTCTGCCTTGTATAGGAAGCATTTGAAGGGTAGATATTATTATTCTTTGTAAGTGCAGTACTGAGAAATTCAGGATTTAGTCATTACCAGTCCTGTTCTTCCTGGCTGACATCAAGACACAAGATGAGACCAGCAGTTTATTGGCACAGCTATATCTACTACTGTAGATCACCATCCCCAAGATCCATGATTGGTAGAAGGAGTATTGAGTACAATTACTGGCTCATATCCACTGCAGGTCATCAAATCCATTTCGGAGACTATGTGATATGATCCTATAGATTAACTTCAGTTCCTACCAGAGCTGAGCTCTTCCTGGACAGTCACAAATAGCCCTTAATGGCACTGGTTGTTTTAACTTCTAGTCATCTGGGCAATTAAAGACCAAGTAGTCTGAGTGTATGAACTACCCTGTTATTTCTCAGGCATTCCTTGTAGTCAAGGTTGAAACATGCTTACCTAATATGTCAGAAGAAAGTCTGTCCTGCTGTCAGTTTTCCTTCATGCATCTTATGTCTATGACTCAGAGCACATGATCCCAAGCTTATGACCACAGCCACAGGCAAAACTTTGCTGTTTAACCTTGATAACAGACAAGCCTCTGATTTTGGCTGCTGTAGTTTTTATTCCCTATGCTACCTCTCTTGTGTCCCTTTGTCTACTATTCTCTTAAAAATGGATTTTGATTTATCCTGAAGAAGTTTTTTCCCCCTCACCTCCACCTGCTCAGCATCTCAGCTATGGTAAAATATGGTGGTGCTCTCAAAAGACAGAGGTGCTGATCTCACACACTACATTGACCAGCTGTTTCTACCACCACAGGTCAGATTCCTGTTGTGGCAACTCCATCCTTCCATGAGAACATGGAAGTGTCTAACGGGCCAAGGCAACCAGAAGTGCAAAGAATTAAAAGGTATTCAACAGCTGCAAGACTTCCTACACTGTCCCACCTCACATATCCCAGTGCAAGGCATGAATTGTCTTACAGGCTAGATCCAACCTGTGTGCTACAAGTGGGATGGACCCTGGTCCTGTGCAGCAGAGATAGATACTGCTGTTTCCATCACACAGTACAGTGGGGAGGAGAGTGCTGAGGGAGAAGTGGGGGGTTTGGAGAGCTCAGCATTTATAACCCTTTATTGCCTGCACTATTGGAGGCTGCATGACTCAGTTCTCTAGGCATTCACAGTTGCTACAGGAGCAAGTTCTCAACCTCTTCACAGGCTCACCCTGAAAATCACCTGTTCAAGAATGGCTGTGAAGATAGGCCACTTACACAATCCACATATAACTTGTTCAACTTTGTGCACTCCATATTCTTCCCCTTCAAAAACATATTTTTGTTATGCTCATACCTGAGATGTCACAGGAGGAGTATGACATGAGCAGTGGGATGAAAAAAATGGGCAATTCCAGGCTGATTATCAGAAAAGTCTTCAAATTGTCTGTGACAGTCCCAGAAAGCATGGGGCAAAACCAGAGTCCCTTGTGCACAAAGTAAGATCTAGAAAATACTCTGGAAGACTGCAGTGTCCCAGGAAGAGAAGGGATGCAGTGAATGTCCTGTCAGGCTTTGCAGGTTGTGCTGCGGGACAGCTGCTCCAGTGTCCGAGCTCCAGTGCCCGGTGGGATGAGCCCCACAGGCTCCAGCCCCACCTCTGGTGGCTCACACAGAGCTCACCAGGTGCTGCTGTCCCCTCCAGCTGCTGGGACAAACCTGCAAACCTGAAGCCTGTTTGTTAAGAATTATGCAAAGAAATATGCCAAATGGGCACTCGACAAAAACAGAAAATTAAAAAGAATAAAATGAGAGGCAAAAGTTGGCACTCTTCTCCATTTCCTTTTCTAGGAAACACTCAGGTCTCTTCTTTAAAAGAGGGGATTATTTTCAATGAAAAGAGCTCACTGCAATGGCTGTCTTGTAGTGCCTTCCTGAAAATCGATTTGAGGTACACAGCCAGCTGGCATATAGCAGTTAAAAACAGCAAGGTGTGAGGCATTTTCTGGGATTCTTATTGAAATAGCCTAGGAACACCCCTGCCCCTCTTATCCTTCCCCCTCCCCAAAAAAGGTAGAGATTTTCTGTGTTCGTAACTAGTGATTTTTGATGTTTGACCCCAGATGTTGGATCCCAGAAATCTGGAGTTTTTGAACCTTCTGTGCTTTCAAGCACAGACCCCCTGAAAAACACTGCTTTTGACCTGAAGCCTTGAAAACGGCTTCTAAATATAAGTGGTAAAGTAGAAGTCACAAGTGTGTAGTAAATTAGAAGTGTGTGCTTTCACAAAGTGATGGGTTTTAAATTTAGAATTTTTATACTATAGTAATAAGTATGAGACAAGATAGAAATCTTTGAGTGTTGTCTCTCTTTGTTCATCTTTCTTCTTCCTTCTTCATGGATTTCAAATAGTAATTTCTACTTAGTTAGTGTCACTCTAAGGGTCATAAGAACATAGTTATTGGGTCAAAAGTATAAATAATATAGATGTTCATTCTCTATTGGACTGTTTAACCTTAAAAGACCTTGTAACAGTTGCCTCTGTAGCCATTTTTCCTTCTAGCAAAGAGCTGAAAGTGCTGTCATACTTTCTGTTCTTTCTGATAAAATATAATAAACATCCAAGCCCAAACACGAAAAAAACCTATTTCAACCATGTTTCTATTAATCCTAGCTCTGAGTAAAGACAAATGAAACTGATGTACAAACCACTAATAAGTAGTGCAAAGCCCGTGCACCACTACCCACACACAGATATTGGGAACAACGTGGTTCTAGCTGGGCTGTTGTGGCACAGGAACTCAGAAAATTTACATCTTACAAATTTACATCTGGGGCAATAAAGACCATGTTGTGTATTTCATTGACTTCTTGAGTCCAAAGAGAACCAAGAAATGAAGCATAAATGAAACACTGAATTTTCCAGGGCAGCCGGGTTCTTGGCCTAGCAAAAGCATTCATGGCCCTATTGCTTACTTTCTACCCTTGCAAGCCTGGGAGCAAAGCAGGCTGGCTGTTGCTGCTGAGAAAGGGTCTGGGACTGTGGGCAGGCAGCAGCTAACACAGTGAGAGCAGAGGCACCAGCCGTGTGGCCCTGGCAGTGTCAGGAGGATCGGGCTCTGCTCCCCTGGGCTCTCCCTTTGAGGGGTGTCCCAGCTCTGCCCTTTCTTCCAGCCTGCTCTCCCCTAGAGACTGCAAGGTCTCATCTGCAAAGGAAGTTTCAAGTGGGCTGTTGACATAGATGAGACAGGAGTTGACCTGCTCTGAGTAAATCAATAAGCAGCAACATGAGGGTAAATAAGCAGAGGAGGACTCAAAACTCTGACTTCTGAACTCCCATGAAATACGTGAGCAGGGGCTGGCACTGCAGAAGCTGGTTTCACATGGATTTATGGGATCTCAGCACTTTCAGAAGACTGGCTCTAGATCTTGCTATCTGTCCCTGATCCTAGTTCATGTTCTTTGAAATCCAGACACAAGAACTTTGAAAGTCTTGAATCAGATCCAGGCTGAGAAACTGGAATGAAGATGATATTTGAAGAGCACTGGGAGTTTCCCATAGCAGTTTAGACGTAAAATGTTTCCTTATCATTATTTCTGACAAATGATGCTTATAAACTCTGTGACATTGGCTGGTACCTCAAAATAGCACTTACTGTGGTCACTGGTATAGCTGTCCATCTCTCAGCTTTAATTGTGCTTACGCAGTTCCACTCCTGGAAAATCTCAAACTCTTTCAGAAACCAGATATGCTGCTATCCACATTGCCTTCCAAAAATATAAAATGCCTTACCACATCCTATAGCTGTTCAAATCTATAAACTTCCCTCTTAGTGCCTCATTTTTGAT